CAGATACAGTTGGCCATTTAGATCCACTTAACAGAAAATGATCCGATCTTGTGGTAAAAATGCAGGTTTGGCGTACGCCGGGACTCTGGGGACTTATTCTGAAATATACCGATTTTTTGGGAGGGGAGAGGGCAGGCACACAAAATAGGGACTCTGGGCAGATTTGCCAGCATGTTTCCAGGTGCATCATACACTCGGGAGAGTCTGTTTTGTGCCACTGTGGGCAAGGCACCAGATTTACAGGTAGGAAACCGGAGTTTGAAATTAGCTGCTAAGATCATGTGGTTAGGTCATGGAGGAGCAGAAGTTTGTGCTCTGAGTTCAGAGAAGGTCTGCGATATCTTTCTTGATCTCCAAAGTTGTCCAAACCACGAAGTGAAGAAACATACTTCCTTTGGGTCATCTGACCAAATTACTACCTGTAAAATTTTGGCCTGGTTGCCTCAGTTGAGCTGCAATCTTCCTGCCTGGTTGAGAGAGAGTCCAGTGGGGGAAGTAGGGACAGAGTATCGTCGGTCCCCAGAGCCAAAACATGAATGGGTATAAGGTCCAAATTGAAACCAGAATGATGATTTCACTCCTGTCTTTCCTACCACATCATCTTTCCTAGCACAGTTATTTTTCTTTCAAGTTTCTTTTTTAAAAAAATTACTTATTTACTTATGTAATCTCTACCCCCAACGTGGGGCTCAAACTCATGACCCTGAGATCAAGAATTGCATGCTTTTGCGACTGAGCCAGCCAGGCACCCCTCCTTTCTCTCTCTCTCTTTTTAAATAGAGTCAATCAGTTGTATTTTCGTAAAGCTAGAGTATAGAAATGAACATTCGCTGGCAAATTAGAAGATGCACATTGCTTTCTGTAACTTAGATTCTGCGTGCATGTGTAGCAATCATGCTTGTGGCCCACAATGTGGACGAAATATGCTCAAGTGTAAAATGTGTCCTCCTGATGTTCTGGCCAGAAGCAGATGGACTTCGCTGTTGGCAGGGCCTGGACATCAGGCTGTGGAGATCTTTTCCAGGCTCCGCATGTGGACTTTTTCTAGGTAGGAGAAATCATTATTCTGATGTATCATTCTCCAGCCACCATGGCAGAGTTGCACATTATTAAGCTATCGTTTGGATGAAATAAATAATACTTGCAGAAACTGACTTCGGCTAGTGCCTGTAAAAAAACAGTGTGTGTGACGACGTGACAAGGAATTGAGGGGGTCGAGTGGAGAGGGGATCGGTGATGATGTAATGTGACCAGGGCTTATCTAGAAAGTCCTTAGAGATGTTTCCCCGTGTGTGTGTTTGTGTGTGTGTGTGTGTGTGTGTGTGTGTGTGTGTGAAGCTTCAGATGGGGCAGCCTGCTGCTGGGCTGCCTTGGGCGGTTCCCACAAGTACCAAGGCCTCAGGAAGATAGGGAACATCCTGGGGTCACCAGCAGCCCTGGGCACGCTGTCTCCGGGCTGCTTCCTTCCTTCTTCCTTCTGAGTGAAAAGATGGCCACCCCCAGCTTCCGCCTCACGTGACACAGTTGTAGCTTTGGGGAGCTTTGTCTCTCTGTGTTTCCTGGCCTGTGTGGAAGGACACACCGAGAGTCCCTTCCCCAGTGCTTGCTTGTAGTTATTAGAAGTCTCTCTGATTTCACAGAAATGTGAAATCAGTTTGCCAGCTTTGGCATCCAGTAGATTTCTGGGCTTTGATGGCACAGTATTGAGAAGATCCTAACTGGCATGTCATTCTTTTAGAATTGTGTTTCTGTGTACATTTTATATGTTGTGTAATATCTTAGTTCAGTAGCACATGTATACAGGTTGTAAGTAAATATACACGTATTAGAGGATGCACACAGTGATTTCAGTGTTGGTATGTGAAGTTCAAACGTGTACCGATGCCTTATATCATCGTGAGCAGGAAGGTGGCCTGCACTGTGGGAGTATCCTGTTGTCTGTACTTATTTGTATTAAATTATTTTTTAATATAAAAGTTAACCAAAGTTGTTTGTTTATAAGTTACAAACTGCCTGTTACTTCACTTTGAGATTCCTCAGCTCTGGACTTTTTCCTCCCCAGCGTTTGAAGGTCTCACATGCTGAGATTCTATAAGGTTTTGTTGACATCTTAGGACTCAGATGTGGCCTGAAGATGGTTTAGTGATAGGGAAAGAAAGTACCAGGAGACAGAGGCTTGGTATTGGCCTTAGCCCATTCCAGTGTGACTGTGAATTGCACGGGGCCTCAAGTTCTCTATCCATACAATGGGAATAATGACCTCAGAGTCACTGTGAAGGTCAAATGCAGTAATAAATCTGAGTCTGCTCTATGAACCACAGAGCCTTTAGAATGTAGGTTAAGGTGGAGAGAGGCCATCGTTTTAGCTTCTCATGAACTTTTGACACAGGGCATATTCTCACACATCATACCTGAGGGGAATTGTGGGGTGCCAAGGAACTCACCACTGGATGTGAGCAGTCATACCCCAGGGTGGGCAAGAGATTGTTCCTGTGTATGGTGCACCACTAGCTGTCTCTCTGTGTCATGAGGATGAATTCAAGACAAAAGTCTACCTCTTCTGGGCTGTTAAGGCGTTGAAGTCGGCCTCCATTTCTTGTTCCCATGTATGTAGCCTGTGCACTTATGGGATAAGAGATATCCTATTGAGGGGCACCTGGGTGGCTCAGTCAGTTGGATGTCTGCCTTCGGTTCAGGTCATGATCCAGGAGTCCTGGGATCAAGCCCCAAATCGGGCTCCCTGCTCAGCGGGGAGTCTGTTTTTCCCTGTGCCTCTCACCCAGCTCGTGCTTTCTCTCTCTCAAATAAATAAATAAATAAAATCTTTTTAAAAAAAGGAGATATCCTAATGAATCTCCAATGCCTGACACAGTGCCAGGCTTAGGCATGCAGGACGTGCTTAGGTAGAAGAGAAATGACCATCATACCTGTTTGCATCTCTGGGCCTTGTCACATAATTAGGAGCCCAGAGGGTGTTCATCAAGAGGCAGTAGGGTTGGGATGGAGGTCAAGAGCTCAGGCTTCTGAGGCGTGGGCTAGTTCAATTGCTGAACCTCCCTAAACCTATTTTCCCAACTGTGAGGGGTGATAATAGTACATCTTTCATCGAATTGGGTTGAAGATTAAATGAGATGATGTAAGTTAACAGCACAGAGTCTAGCTTAACAAAATGTCAACTATCATCATTGTCATTATGAATAACATGATTGGCATTATTAAAAGCTCATTGATATTGTGATTTGGAACTTGGAAGCCCAGAAGCTCCATTTTTGCCTTGATGTCTTTAACTGTCTTCCATTTAATTTTCCCTTAGTCACCATTTTTGTTGGAGACACCAATTTCACCTTACCTGGACGAGTGCACTGACTTTTTAGGGCAGGCTCACTTCAGTGCCCTCAATATTAACCTCTGTCAGTGGGAACTTCTTTTTTTAATGATGCCCGGGGCTCAGTCCCAGGACGCTGGGATCATGACCTGAGCCGAAGGCAGATGTTTAACCGCCTGAGCCACCCAGGCGCGCCCAGTGGGATCTTCTTATCCTCTGGCAAGGTTTTAGATTAGTTTTCCATGTTGGAGGGGTTGCAGGTGTTTTTTTGACCAGGGTTGTACCATAGCATTAAGGACATGAGGTTGACTCCACAATTTAATATCAAGTGAAGAGCAGATCTGCAGTCACTTGCTTTCTTCCTGACCTTCAGCTGGTCTTTGGCTGGGGAGCAGTTGAGGACACGGTATAAGAGAGCATATTGCATTCAGAGTATATTTCCACGGCTTTACTGCTTATTATCAACATAACACCCATTCAGGTTGTTCCTGGGAAATTTGTCCGCATCTGAGTGTCTGTCTTTATCTGCAGACACACTCGCTCTATCTCATTTGGACGATAAAAGAACAGAAATGCCTCATCTTTGATCTTGGGGGCTTGGGCAATGGCAGGGAGTTGGGGGTTTCTGCTGACCTCTGCTTAGAGGCTGTGTTGTGCGGTGGATTCTTCAGGTAGCTGTGATGTAGGAATACTTGATATTAACCTCTGTCAGTCTCTTAAGCACATGTGGAAGTGCCAGATGACATGAAATCAGAATTCTAAACCATGAAAAAGTCAAGCTAGCATGGTAGTGATGGGGGGATGTTCCTGCTCACACTCCAGAGGCCAACTCCCCTTCCTCTGGCACACTCCCTTCCTTTCTTGCAAGTGCCTTTCCTGATGCTAGTGTGCTAATCGTGTCTAGGCCTTGATGTAGTTGACCTTCATAAGTATAGGACGATTCCTAATACATCATGGGTCATGGCTGTTATTTTATTGGAACCGTGATAGAGTCAGGACGGTGGATCAGCTGTGAGAAGGTGGTCATCTCCCCGTCGTGTTCCTTATGCGGTCTGCAAGTGTGCCTGCGTCTCATTCGATTAAATCACATTTGCTGTCAGCTAGTACCTTCATTAAGGTATCACTACAGGTAGTTATATTCCACTGAATCTCGGCTTGGTGATCTGAGAAGCGTTGAGTGTTCGTTCATATGAGTGAGGTGGCTGAGGATGCTAACTTTTCAAAGTGACTGTAGTCGGGATGTATGAACTGTTTTTTTAGTCTGCCCTGCAGAACTGAGCATAGAGTACAGGACCAGCTCTTCTAGAGTCTTAGCACTGACCTGATAGACTTTGGCTACCATCACCTATGATGGCACATAGTAGGTGCTCAGTAAAAATACAGCCAATGAAAGAGCAGCCTTCTAAATGGTCTTTGTTTCCTCCTTTGGTTTCCCTCCAGTCCTCTTAAAGCTCCACAACTGGGTGGATTTCATTGGTTCTCACTGTCCTCAGACAAGTTCCTGACTCCTTACCCAGGTTAGGACAATGCCCTTGGCCTGTGGGTGTTCCGGGGTCTGTTCTGATTGAGTGACACTCTGTGCTGGTGGTTAAATCATCCTGACATTGCTCTTGCCGGCCTGATCTCTCTCTAGCCTGCAGAACATTTGTTTGCGTTCTCCTGCTCCTGTTTCCAGGTGCTTCTTCCTGGTGGGTGTATCAGTGTTAATTAGGGTTCCTTCAGGGAAGCAGAGCTACTATATTATGGGAAAGGATTCACCGCGGTTGTCACACTTGATACCAGTGTGGGCGGAGGGGCAAAGGGAGGCCTGGAAGAAGAAGCTTGAAAATCAGAGGAAACCCCTCAAACCAGACAAATACCAGTGCGGTGGTCGGGTGGGGCTGTCACGGAAGCTCTGAGAAGCTGACACACCCAACAGCAAGTGGCCTGCAGGGGGCGGGGTAGCTAGCTGTCCGTGGGCAGCTCTGCCTCTTGCCTACATCTGGAGGGAGGTCTGGGGCCACAGTCGGGAGAAGAGGTGGATGCAGAAGTGGACTGTGCTGGGAACCTCTTTCTACCTGTGTGCTGAAGACCTTCAGTAGTGTAACAGCAATTCTTGACTTCCTGCAAATTCCCCTTTTGGCCAATTCTACCCCAGAACCCTATGGAGAAAGGGATTCTGGGAAATGTCATCCCTGCTTTAGCCAAGTTGACAGTAGGATAATCTAGGATGGCGCAGAGTAGACCAGTGTAGCAGAGCGTGTGTGGGGTGTGTACGCACGTGTGCATGTGTGTGCATGCATTTGTATGCATGTGCATGCATGCGTGTGTGGGGGTGTACAGTGTGTGTGTTTCACATGCACACATGTGCTTCAGATCCCCTGCAGAGAAATGTGTGAGAATATCAGAAGAGGGGAGATAGAGCCTCTGGCTTAGCTTCTTTAAGCTTCTGACTGGGTTCTAGTCAGAGCAGGATCTGCAGGAGAGGCCAGAAGAAGGGGCAGAAGGGGCATTTGCTAGTCCCTGGGCTCTCCACCCACATGGTCATGGGGAGCTGCTGGCATCTTTGCCTCCCAGAGGAAAAAACCTCAAACCTCCACTAAATTCAATTCTTGGACAGACTTTCTTTCTCCCCTTGCTCTGTTCCTGTTGCTAGAATTCAGCTCCCCCACCTCTCTTCCTCTGTTCTCCATTCCTACTCTATGCCTTGCCTGGCGAATGCATCTTTTTGGTTTCAGATTTAATGTCCCTGCCTCCACAAAGCCTTCCCTGGTCTCTCAAACGTGGGTTAGATGTCCCTTTGTTTCCCCGTCATAGCACTTACCATGCATGATATGTGATGCTCTTCAGTTTACTTGTCTCTTCTTCCCTGGACCCGGAGTTCTGTGGGGGTAGGGACATATGATCTTGCTGGGACTTATCAGCAAGCACCATTTCTTCCCTTCCTGATGTCATACAAGTGATAAGTGCTGGCCTTTCTGATTCCAAGTTCTAAGCTGTGTGTGTGAGCATGTGTGTGTATGTGTGTGTGCATGTGCACGCGTGCATGCATGCGTATGTGTGTGTCTGTGAACGGTTCATCCATCCCCCCGTGGGGATGACCAGTTGACCACGGCTGCTAGGACCTCTGCTCCGGAAGTGCAGCACGGAGGGTGGGACCTCAGGACAGTGTACCCTACAACATCTTCAGAGTTCACCAGATTGCCTTGGTGGGTGGGAACCAGAAGCAAGGCGGTAGAAGATTAAGCAGCACTGATCTTGAGATCAAGCAGTATGTGGATTTGAGATGGACAAGCAGTGGTAGCTTTGTTTTTTCTAGGTTTTGTACCCACTGTTGCCTTGAACACAGACATTCGGAGATGGGGAGGGGTGTAGCCTGAAACGGAGATGCTCAGCATTCAGAATGGGAGGGAGTCAGAGGGCGTCTATGGATTCAGCAGATCTTTCGAATATTTAGGTTATAAGTAACAGTGAGAATCTGATGAGGGATCTTCTCACATTCTCACCTGCAAAGGTAATGTGTGATTTGGGGGGTGTCAGATATCTGACACCCATGACTCATCCTACAGAAGGGTGACGGGAGTGAAGAGGCAGTGTGCATGCCTGGGGTCCAGTGGCAGGGGGGACAGAGGAGGGACTCACTCTTTCAGTTCATAGCTGCACCCCCACCGAGCTGCAGCTTGACTTTTGCCTGGTGGTGGGGGAAATAACGTGAGGCTATCAGATTCTGACAAGGGCCCAGCACCCTGGCTAGTCCTCGGGTGCTGTGGCTCTGATGTGCTCTGATGTGTTGATGTGTCCATTATTAGGATCGTGTGTGTGCGTGCGTGTGTGTGTGTGTGTGTGTGTGTTAGAAGCCCCCTGGCTAGGGAGGGGAGGCTGTGGTGAGAAAGGGGAACATCAGCCTAGGGTGCTCCCTGATAAGCACCTTCGTTCTCGGGGGTATTCGGGCACGTACATTGTTGGGTCATTGTTTGCCTTGCCTTTTGTCTGAGACTTTGCCATTACACATTTTCTCCACAGAGATTTAGGATTGATTTAATGAGCTGTTCTTTAGAACAGTCGTGAAGTGGGTTAATAGGATTCTCTCAAGCCCAGAGATGAGGAAATGAGCTCCCCGGATGTGTCCTCCATATTTCCTTTCTCCCTCAGTCTTCCCACTCTCAAGCACCAACCATCCAGGCCATGGCCTGACTGCTGGGTAGGAGAACATTCCTACGCTTCCCCTGAAGTGTCTTGTCATGGCTCCTAAGGACCGTAGTAAGGGTGTGTGGATGGAGGAGGAGAAGAAACTGAAACAGCTCCCACCCCACCTGCTGGTGTTGGAGTCCCTGCTGACTCACTGTGTGGAAATGATATTAAATGAAGGAGAATGTTTCTAATGAGATGAAAAGGCACTTCATAAAACAACGCAACCCTACACAGGGAGCTGTGTGAACGGTTACTCAAAGCAACTCTGAAATGTCTATAATGAGATCTTAAAAGCAAATTCTGAAATCCCCCGTTCTCTGCTTTCTGATCTTGCATGCTGTGATTTTTTTCCCTAGAGGCTTACCCTTAAGATTGAGTTATTGCTTTGCATTGTAGCTCTTTATCTACCATAACTGTATTTGCTGACTTTGGGTTTATCTTCAGTGCTTAAATCACTCTAAAATAGGTTTTGTCAGTTAAAGTCATGTAATATCTTTCCTCTCTCACGGGCCTGGGAGTGGTTCCTAGAGGAGGACTTGGAATCGCTGCTCTCGGGGCAGAGCCTCGTGAGTCCCATGCAGCTTTGCCATCATCATGCATCCGGACCACCCTCTCATACTTCTGACCTGCCCTCAACTTTCACTTCCCGCTCTGCAAAGGAGGCATAACTCTACTTCATTAAGGCTGCTGCATGGATGAAATAAAATTGGTTCAGAGTCAGTGCTTAATACATGTCTGCTACATCTGTCTTAGTTATCCACTGCTGTGTAACAAGTTGCACCAAAGTTTAACAGCTTAAGACAGCATGCACTTACTCTCTCACTGTTTTGTGGGGTCAGGAATCTGGGCACAGCTTCATGGGTCCTCTGGCTCAGGGTCACTTACAAGGCTACAATCAGGTGTCTCCTGGGGCTGTAGTCACCTTGGAACGGGATGGGGAGAGCAGGGTCTGCTTCCAACCCCCCCGGTGGTTTCTGGCAGGACACAGTTGCTGAGACCCCCTGTAAATGTGCTCTGAGGCCTTGATGGCTGTTGGCTAGAGCCTCTTTCAGTTCCCTGCATCGTGGTCCCCCCATGCATGGGGGGGGGGGTCTCGCTTCCTCAGAGCCGGCAGGTGAGAGGGCCAGCAGGAGTGTCAGAAAGAGGGCAATCAGTTTTTGTAACCTAACCTCGGGAGTGACACTCATTTTTTTTTCATATTCTGTTTTTTAAAAGCAAGTCATTAGGTCCAGGCCACACGCAGGGAACCAAATATGGGGGGTCGGGATCATTGGGAACCATTTTAGAAGCTGGCTACTACAATTATGATCATTATTTATCTTCATTTGCAAGCTCTGCAAATCAGGAACAATGAATATTGAGTGTTGTGTAAGAAAAATTCCAGAATATAATAAAATCTGAGGTTTCATGTTTGGTGCCTGTTGTAGGCCAGGTATTTCATGAATCAGTGGATTTTCCCTCTATGAAGAGGGGAGCCTATGTCTTTGTCATTTGTCCAGTGACCTGTCTGGCCCAGCCAAGAGCCCACACATAGGTTGCTTGTGAGGAAAGAAAGGTGGCCAAAGGATGGTTCGTTCCTTGATCAGGACATACGATTTAAGTAAAAAATTGTGTTAACTTTTTTTTTAAGTGGTTAAGGTCACACCTTCTAAGATTCATTAGATAAACATATTTCTGCTTAGCTGCACAGGGTTTCTACATGAGGACAAACTGCTCTCTGAGAAATGCCAAGAAGCAGTGGGGCTGTTATAAGAATAATGGAGGGGCGCCTGGGTGGCTCAGATGGTTGAGCGTCTGCCTTCGGCTCGGGTGATGATCCCAGGATCCTGGGATCGAGTCCCACATCGGGCTCCCTGCTCAGTGCAGAGCCTGCTTCTCCCTCTCCCTCTGCCAGTCCCTCTGCTTGTGCTCTTCTGTCTATCTCTCTGTCAAGTAAATAAATAAAATCTTAAAAAAAAAAAAAAAGAATAATGGAAATAAAGGAGTTGGGAGCTGCCCTTCCTCTTTTAAAGAGTGTCTTCCTTCTTCAACTTATCGGCGAAGTAAGGCAGGAGGAGAGATGGTGACTGAGGACTGCTGTAAGAGCGGGGGGAAGGGGAGGGGCAGACCCCCTGCTGTTCCTCTTTCCTCACTCCCACTTTGTCCGTGTCTTTGGCCTCCCTGCGACTCCGAGGACATTGCCACCAGCTGGGCCGAAAGACACTTCACCACTGGGGCCAGAACATCCGTGCCTGAAAGATTTCTAAACTTTAGAATTTACTAGATCTGCCAACTCTGGAATAATGAGAGGCAAATAAACTTAACAGTAGAAAGGGGACGGTAGTTTTAAATATCATAAATATTTTCTTCCTAGCATTGGTTTCTTTGGGGCTGGGTGACGTCCCCAAAACATGACCATCTCTTCTTTTTGAACACTTACCTAAGAGTCACAGAAGATCTGGGGAGGAGTCTTAGCCTTGACACCCATGTCCTTGGCCAGGTGGCTGCGATTCCCTCCTATAAAACGAGGATGCTAAGACTTAATCAAACATGATGAGAGATAAGAGGAGACAAGGCAGTTTAACCTTTCCACAGACAATAGAAACAGACCCACAGAGGATATGGATAATGGAATTACCAGATGTAGACTTTAAAATACGTAAAATATAAATGTTAATATATTCAAGGAAATAGAAGTCATGATTTCAAAAGTTGGCAAGCAATC